AATTTTTTATTGTTGGTCATTCAAAACATTAAATTTCATTTTTCTTTATGGATGAGTAACATCCATTGTGTATGTATATACACATTTTCTTTTTCCATTGATCTGTTGAAAGGCACCAGTGTTAGTTCCATAGCTTGGATATTGTGAAGTGAGCTTCTATAAACATTGATGTGGCTGCATTACTTTAGACTGCTGATTTTATGTTTTTTGGGTATATGAGGAGGAGTAGGATAAGTAGGTGGTTCCATTCCGTGTTTGCTAAGAAATCTCCATAGTGCTTTTCAGAGTGATTGCACCAGTTTCCAGTTCTTATTTGTATCTGCAATTTTTTTCCAAAACATTCATCATTTTATATAATTTGTTTCATGTTCCTTGGTGTAAAGAGTAAATATACTGGGTTTACTTCCTGTTTGGTGTTGGAGAAAGGAAAGTGCGAAGAGCCACTGTCATTGCCACCAAAGCAGCCTTAACACACCCTGAGCACCTTTCTGCCCACCTGGACCTGTCTCCTGCATCATTGGACTTGTTTCAGCAATCTATTAAAACATGGTGGATTACTATGAAGTTCTAGGCGTGCAGAGACATGCCTCACCTGAGGATATCAAAAAGGCATATCGGAAACTTGCACTAAAGTGGCATCCAGATAAAAATCCTGAAAACAAAGAAGCAGCAGAGAGAAAATTCAAACAAGTAGCTGAGGCATATAAGTTATTATCAGATGCTAAAAAAAAAAAAACGGGATATCTATGTCAAGTTTGGCAAAGAAGGCTTAAATGGTGGAGGTGGAGGTGGAAGTCATTTTGACAGTCCATTTGAGTTTGGCTTCACCTTCTGGAACCCAGATGATGTCTTCAGGGAATATTTTGGTGGAAGGGACCCATTTTCCTTCCGCTTCATTGAAGACCCATTTGAAGATTGTGTTGGGAACCAAAGATGTCCCCAAGGAAGCGGAAGCCGAGGTGCAGGCTTGTTTTTCGCCACTTTCAGTTGACTTCCATCATTTGAAGGTGGATTTTCTGCATTTGATACAGGATTTACTTCTTTTGGGTCACTAGGTCTTGGTGACCTTAATTCATTATCTTCTACAGCATTTAGTGGTAGTGGGATGAGTAACTTCAAATCTATATCAACTTCTACCAAAATAGTAAATGGGAGAGAAATCACTACAAAAGAATTATTGAGAATGGTCAAGAAAGAGTAGAAGTTGAAGAAGATGAACAGTTAAAGTCCTAAAGATAAATGGTAGGGAGCAGCTGCTATGCTTGGATAACAAGTAATTCAATGCACGCATTTATGCATTTAACAGAAATGTTAAACTATAACAAGCACCATTTGAGGATTAACAGGAACATTTTTTGGAAGATTTC